CTTATTTTCGGTTATATAAAAATGCAGATTCCTGAGCCCCACCCCACACCAGCCAAATCCAAGTGTCTGGAGTGGGGAGGTGAACTCTAAGGACCTGCATTCAGCCACATATCTTAGTTGATTCTGATGTGCACTGAAGTTTGAGGCAAAGGCAAATTAAAATGGAAGAAGAACCTAACTAGAGAACCATATGGTCCATTTATGCTGTAGCTGAAGGAAGTTTCTATTGCCCTTGCATTTCTGTAAAGGACACAAATCATATTCTTAAGCAACCCTCATACCATTCATTAAAGTCCAGTGAGGCAGTGTTTATTCTTTAAGATATAAATAACTGTATAGAAGGATAAATAAATTTTAAACCAAATACAGGATGCTGTTTTCAAAGTACTTACCACTTGTTCTGGGAAGATCTGATTCAGAAACTATAAAGGAAGAAAAGAAAAATCAGACGCGTGCATGCTTCACGCACAGGGAACCCTAAGCAAGAAATCCACCTCTGAGACATTGCTTTTCTTATAGTTGACTCTGAACTAACGATGTAACAACTGCATGTAACTCAACATCAACAAATCTGGAATCTGTTTTTGAAATTTAATTCAAATTGAAAAGATTTCTTGAGGCTCTAGTGCAATGAGAGGTCTAGGCTTGCTTCTAAAATGCCTCAAAAGTCCACCCTTGTGCCATCTCTTCTCCTCCTTCACAGGCACCCAAGGGTGCTGATTCTTAAAAGCTTAATCATGGCAGAAGATTTTGTACATTTTCTAACCTGGGGACCTGGGGTCATATTCAAGAGTTTTATGTGTCATTTTAATTAATCCTCGTACAACGCCATAGGGAAACTGAGGCTTGGGTAGGTGACCCAAATCAACTGACTAGTAAGTGACGGGGCAGGATTTGTGCTCAGACAGTTTGCTGTTAACCATTTCACTATTCTGCCTCCCAGTATATATACATTTTAAAGTTTGTATTATTTGGCCCAAATCATGGTCTGCAGTTTTGCACAGGCAGGTATGCTCATGCGTGCACCGGACTGGAATAAAAGAGGAATTAGGGAGCAGAAGAAGTTAGCCTTTAAAGCATTGACTGAGGCAGGGGTATTCACTATTTCCCCAAGACCTGTTAACAGTTCTAGAAAAGAAGAGAAATGTGATTATATCCAGAGAGGCTCAGTAAGATGCTGCTGTCCCTGTCTGCCCCTGCTGCCCTGCTGCCTGTGACCCCTGCTGGACACCCAGTGGGGCAGTCTGGGGGACAGAGACCTTAGGAAAGAAGTGTGGCTGGACAGAGACTTGCACGGAAACTTGGGGTCTATCTTATGGTCAGTACGGCACCTCACAAGGAAGGAGCTAAGGGTCCAGGTGGACCCCCTCAGAGAACCTGTCCTACATCTAAAACCCAGCAGGACCCTCCACAGCAGTCCCTCCTGAGTTCTTGGGGATGGCCTTGGGCACCACAATCACCCGGCTCCCAAGTTTGATAGAGTTACCAGAGCTGAGTGTCTGTGTCTCCCAAAAAGCAGTTTCTGTGGTGTCACTCACTGTTGATGTTGCTGAAAATACAAGGAAAAATAGCCAAATGAGAGGTCTTCCGAAAACAAGAATTAAACCCGGACCCACCCTCCCACCATCTAATTCAAGCAGGGGAGAAAGTTGCATTACTCTTTGCTTTGGAGGCTAGCTGGACCCATCATTCATTAATTGATTCACTCAGGGAATATGGACCAGTCTCTGACCGCACAGGGGGCACAGGACAGTGGGGATCCATCCTAGAGGGTAAGGTGTAGTCCTCTGGAGCTCAGAGGCCACCTGGCAGCCAGACTTGCTAACCAGTAACTCTCCATCTTGGTCAATGAGGAACACAGTGGAAGGGGAATGGAAATCTCAAAAGAAACAATTCCTGGGCTTGGGAGAAGGGCAGGAGGAATCCAGAGAGGAGAAGATATTTCAACAAGGCTTAGAAGAAGACTTAGACATACATCAGGAGAAAACAGGGTGGAAGTCGAGTTGCCAGATGAAACACAGGATGCCCAGTTAAATTTGAATTTCAGATAAACAATGAATACTGCTTTAATATAAGTATGTCTACAATATTACATGGGATATATGTATACTTAAGAAAAAAAATTTATCTGAAATTCGAATTTAACTGGGTGCATTGTATTGTTACTTACAATATCCGGCTACTCTAGATGAAACGCATCTCATAGGTGGCAGTAGACAAGAAGTTGTCTTAACTACCCTATATGTAACCCACTAGCCAGATCCACTGAGGCTCTCCATCCTCTCTGTAAACCTACTGAACACTAGGGCTGGTAGGCTAATATCTAGTACACTTGGCATCTTTCACTCCAACCAAGCTGTGTGATCGATTAAAGGCAGATATGAGTCCTGAACCTGTTTATGCTGGTTGTACCTGGCATTAGATTAAATATTAAGTAAATTGATCAAATATGGGTACAAAAAGAAAGATGTCTTTAAAAAAAATAAGGCTGAATGCTTTGGAAATAAAATAAAATAAAGTTGCTAAAAGAAATCAGGTGGGTTAAACAGCAAAAAGTAGAAGGATATGTAAAGTAATAGAACTTCTCCCCTCATACTGCTTTGCAAATGTCTTTCATTTCATGCTCTACTTTAGAGAAACTAAAATTAGAAATTATAGATAATGCCAAATGGACGTAGTTTATGTAAGAAAGACATTGCAGAATTGCAGAAGATCCCTACTGAGAGAAAAGCCTACAGCCACAAATTGGCAAATCAAAGTGTGTTTATATATTTTAAGATAAAATGAAACATTTAAAATGTGTCTGTATCATATTTTATGATTTCCCCATTTTAAACAACATTTTTGAAAAACCAACCAACTACCGGACCCAGTCACGTTAGAAAAGTGTTCCTTTAGAACAACGGCTCTTAAAACGGTTCCCTGAATCAGCAGCACCATCCAGGATGTGGGAATTTGTACAAAATGCACATTTTTAGGCCTCCCCCAGACTTAAGAATTTACCCTGGAGGCGGTGCCCAACAATATGTGTTTTTAACAGGCATTCGAGGTGATTCTGATACACACTAAGGTTTGAAAACCGCTCGCTGTCCTGCAGCAAGAGCGTTTCGACACAGTGATAGATGGAATAATTCATTCAACAATCATTTACTGGCACCTCCTGCATGCTAGACTCCAGGAAGCCGGGGGAATGCTGAGATTACATGATGCCGCCGCCGCTGGTAATTGGCTCTAGTTGTCGAGGCCTGCAGGTAAGCAATGACAGGACAGGGGACTCAGGGCTCTGATTGCCGGACGTCCAGGAGTCTGGCAGAAGATCACGCGAGATTTCCTGGAACGGGACCTGGACGTCCAAGCGGATGTGCGCCAGGCAGAGGGGAGGATGTGGGTGAGAACGAGCTCCGAGGAAGTTAAGACATAATGAATAAACTTTCCTTTCGAAATAAACTCATGAGAATAAAACTACAAACTCTATGTGAAGCTTCGTGGCTCTCTCCTGGCAAATGAAGAGATGAATCGGGTTTCTGGATGGAAGGACTGAATATAGGAAAATCAGTCATTCTAAACTAATTCATAGGTTTGATATAATTTCCATCCAAAGGTTTTTCTTGGATTGATTGGTTCTTTAAAAAATGATTCTGGGGGCTTCCCTGGTGGCGCAGTGGTTGGGAGTCCGCCTGCCGATGCAGGGGACACGGGTTCGTGCCCTGGTCTGGGAAGATCCCACGTGCCGCGGAGCGGCTGGGCCCGTGAGCCATGGCCGCTGAGCCAGTGCGTCCGGAGCCTGTGCTCCGCAACGGGAGAGGCCACAACAGTGAGAGGCCTGCTTACCACGAAAAAAAAAAAAAAAAAAAAGATTCTGAAGTTTATCAGGAAAAATAAATAGGCTAAAAATGACTGGTAAGTTCTTGAAAAAGAAAAAAATACTGATGGGGCAGGGGCAGGGGTAGGGGCAGTGAGAGTGGGGCTGGGAGGTCTTGTCCACCTATGAACCTGGGAGACAGGTGACTTAGGTTCAAATTCTAGCTCTGCTGCTTATTTGGTCTCTAAACTTGGGCAATTCATTAATTCTCACTCAGTCCTAGTTTCCTCATCTGCAAAAAGGTAGTTACACTAACCTACTTCACAAGGTTATTGTGAAGACAAAATCAGAAAAATATATCAAGTGCTTAATATAGTGTTTGCCATGTAGTCAGCATTCAAAAAATTATTATTAGCTCCAAAATATTCAAAATAAAGCCATAAAATTAAAACAAAGTTTAACATTTTAAATAATTTAAAAATTATTTTAGATACCTATTTCACACCAGAAAGCAAAATAATTTTCAGAACAGAAGAACTAGATTTTTTTGAACACACCAAGACAGGAAACGAATTAAATGTTTATCCGATTTCTGTGAAATTTCTAGGTGTTAAATCAACAGGAAATCACAAAGGAAAATAGCAATAAATTTAATTTTGTAAAAATACAAAATATTTGTGTGGAAGAAAATCAAAATTAAAAGGCAAACAAACTGGGAAAATATTTGTCATCAATGTAATGGACAAAGTATTAACATCCAAATTATAGAGACAGTTTATATAAATCAACAAAAATGATACTAGCTTTCACACACACACAATAAATGGATAAAGGATATAAACAGACACTTCAAGGAAAAGGAATGTAAATGGCTTAAAAACATTCGCCTTCACTGTAAGCAAAGAAATGCAAATTAAAATGACTGTACACCGTTTTTCACCCAACAATTCAGTCAAGATTTTTGCGGTATGCGGGCCTCTCACTGTTGTTTGACTTAGTAATTCCACTTCTAAGAACCTAGCCGAAGGAAATCATAATTTACTTAATGTGGACAAAGATGCATGAACAAACATTATCTTCACAGTATTAGCCATTATGATTACAGAAAGAACCTGAAAGGGGGTGGAAGAAATAGGAAGAGGTTAGTAAAAGGGTACAAACTTTCACTGATACCATGAATAAGTTCTCAGGATCTAATGTAAAACATAAGGACTATAGTTGATAACACTGTATTTATTGTACAGTTGGAATTTGTTAAGAGGGTAGAACTTAAATGCTGTCACCAAAATAAAAGATAAAAATGTGAGGTGATAGATATGTTCATTAACTAGGTGGGGGAGAATATTTTCATAATGCATATGCATATCGAATCACCACGAGATACTCTTTAAATATCCTATAAATTTCTTGGTCAATTGTACCTCAATAAAGCTGAAATTAAAAAAAAAAAAGAAGGAGAAAACCTGAAAAAAGTCAGTCTCCAAAATCATGACTGCATGTTAAAATGTTCAGAATATAAACTATAGAAAGACTGTATATGAAAAGATATCACTTAGGGACTTCCCTGGTGGTCCAGTGGCTCAGACTCCGAGCTTCCACTGCAGGGGGCACAGGTTCGATCCCTGGTCAGGGAACTAAGATCCCTCATGCTGCACAGTGACAGCCAGAAAAAATGATATCACTACATACGCACATAATTGGAAAGAAATACATATTTTAACAAAGGTAATCTCGAGTGATAGGATGACGAGAGTTTTCACCTTTTCTCTGTTTTTCTCTAGCTCCTACATTTTCCACACTAACTATGCATTAAAAACTGTGGTTTGAGGCTGAAGGCATGAAATGAGGTGGCAGGTAAGGTAAGAGGCAGATTCTTTTAGGGAAAGAATCTTTTAGGGAAATGGGGTTGTAGCCTAAAAGAAAAGAACAAGGATGAAAAAGAAAAAGAAGATAAGGAAAAAATGATGCTAAGGATAAAGCCGAGAGGCAGGAAGAGGAGAGAAAAAGAAGGAGGGGAGAGGGGAGAGGTAGGGAGGGGAGATGCTCATACCTTTTAGCAATTAGGACATTCCGGCATTAAGCTAAGTGGTCTACCTGTAGTATCTCATTTTATCTTCACAATATCCTTTATGGTAGAATTATTACACAATCTATTCTATAGAAGAGAAATCCAAGGCTTAGGGAAGGAAAACAACTCGTCAAAGGTCACACAGCTGTGACAGAGTGAAACTGATGCTGGAAGTCGAGTGCACTGATCCCAGAGCAAGTGTGCTCACAGCTCAGCTCCACTGCTTCCCAAAATTCAAGTGAAAACACTGAGATTCCATTTCAACTTGTCAGAAAGCAACACAGTCTGAAATAATACTATTTAGTAATGGAGAGGCTGTGGTCAGTATTGTTCCTGATATGGTGTCTGGCTCCCCATAAACTATACATAAGGGAAGAGGAATACTTCACGGGACCTGGCACAGGGCACAGAGGGGATGTTTCAGGGCACAAGCACCCTCTCTCCTGCCCTTCCATTACCATCAGCGGGAGCCTTTGGTAGCCTCCTGGTGATGCACTGTGTTGTACTAAGTGAACAAGGTGTGGTCCCTGCCCTCCAGGGACTCCCGGCATAGCAGGATCTCTAGAAAAATCCACAGATGATCTAGTGTAAGAGTTAAGATGTTATGGGAGAATAAGAATGGCAACCATAGGCACACTGCGTGTGTGTGTGTGTGTGTGTGTGTGCGTGTGTGTGTGTGTGCATGTGTGTGTGTGTGTTGAGAGTACATGTCAGGGTTCCTGGATGGGACAGTGTCCATCGTATTTAAAAAGAGCAGCTAGATTTAGCCAGAGGAGGGGAAGAATAAGACTGTGTTCCAGGTGGAGGGAACAGCGTGAGCGCAGTCACCATGGCAAGAGGCAGCATTACTGCGGGGCCTGAGGTGGGCAGGACAGGTTGCTTTGTACTGTGAGACATCCCGCTACCAAGTGTCCTGGAAAACAGGTAGAACAAATAAAATCATGGGGTGGAAAACAGCAGGGAGCAAGTGGGAACTGAAACCCAGGTGGGGGTCTGGAGAGACACAGGAGGCTGGAGAGGATGGCCAGGCAGGAACGCAGGGTCCCGGTGCCAGGCTGTGACGCTTTGGGACTCGTTCCCGGGGCACGGCCTTGGACTTTACCTCCTTTCTGTAACATTCCGCACCTAGACTGGACTGAGTGACATAATGCCCAGGGGGGGATTTTGCACAGTAAAGACGAGCTGCAGCCAACAGAACTGGCGAGGGAGTAATTAGACGTCTGTGAGGTCTGTTTAAGTGATAACGGAAGTGCCTCCCCAGTCCAATGTCACCCGCATAAGGGCATCTCGCAGCGCCTTAAAGTCCTTCCATTCCATTTCCTCCTTTTTTTCATGGCGTTAATCATTGCCAAAACCCCTGATAAACTGTGAAAAGGGGAAGTACAGGCATTAACACTTTGCTAGGAATTAGTTTGTAAGCAACTATTACTTTCTTATTTTGCAAAACATTGACCTTGAAGAAATGGGACCAAGGGAAGTTGAGTTAAAAGAAATTCTTTCGCAATAACTTTACAAAGTTATAGAAAAGTTGCAGAAAATACAGAGTTCCCATATACTCTTACCCAATTTCCCCTCATGCTAACATCTCACATGACTGAGGTAACTTTGTCACAATTACCAAATCAACAATGGTACATTCCTACTAACTAAACTCCAGACTTTATTGGGATTTCACCAGTTTTTCCTTTTTCTAGGATCCAGTCCAAGATACCACTTTGCATTTAGGAAGTTATGTGAGGAAAATGCCTAGGAGAGTAACAGTGGACGGCACCCAGGCCCCCTCACACCCTCCAGGTGCCAGACACCGCGTGGGTGACCTCAGGTCTATACAACCCTGTGAAGCTGGAACACAACCCCAATTTACCAGTGAAGAAAATGACACTTGCAGAGGCTCCAGGGCTGGTAAATGGTAGAACCAAAGACATTGCCAGGAGCAGCAGGGGTTCCACGGCCCCTAGAGCCCTGCACAAACCTGAGCTCACTGACTCCTTCTCAAGAATTTGTGCAAAGACCGGAGCTGAGAAGAGTGTCTGCTGCATGGGTTCCCCCAGCACAAAGCTCCCCCCGGGGGGCTCCAGCAGTCCTCAGACCTCTGCAAGGAACAGCAGGGGTTAATGGGCCAAAGCCGCTATGCGCTACCCGAATGCCAGCAGACCTCCTCCTGGTTCAAATCCCGGCCCACCGCCCGCAGCAACTGCTGACCTTGGATGGGACACAGAACCTTTCTGAGCCTCAGTTTCCTCATCTGCAATGTGGATACTTAACTCGTTAGCAGATTTAGACAAGGGAAGATAGGTACCCTGTCTCACAGAGCACCTGGTACAGAGCCAGCGCTTTGCAGAGAGTTAATCCTTACGTCTAAAGTACAAATGCAGGCACACTTGTATGTGTGTGCACATAGCATATGTGTGCACATAACATCATGTCAAACCACAAGTTCCCTCAAGCCACGCGTAGAAGCTGCCTTAAGCCCCTTTGTAGATAAGGACATGGCAATTCGCTCCCTGTCCTTTAGGGGCTGACATGAATCCCCTGTCACTTTTCAGAGCCAGTGCAAGTCCAGGGATTAACTTCGCACTCATAAAAGCTGGAGCTAAGAACACTGCCTTCCATTTTCAAATATTTTGATGCAGACGCAATCTCCAGCCCCGAGATTGTCCAGAGCCTGTACCCCCCGAGGTCCTCCTGACAAGAAGGGAAGGTGGGTGTCACCTGTCAGCGTGCTCCTGGGCAGAGACAGAGAGTGAGAGAGACAGAGAGAAAAAAAGAGAGAACTAATAGACAGACTGGCTAATTGTCCTGTTCACTTAGCATCTCGGTAAAATGACATTGAGATTCAAGGTCTCACTGATTTGCCCAGGGCTCTTTCGTGTCCATTTTATCACTTGACACTCTAAGAACACAAAGATATGCTTGACTAACTAAGCTTCAGATCATTTCTCTAGGACTTCCCTGGTGGTGCGGTGGTTAAGAATCCGCCTGCCAGTGCAGGGGACACGGGTTCGATCCCTGGTCCGGGAAGATCCCACATGCCGTGGAGCAACTAAGCCCGTGCGCCACAACTACTTAGCCTGCACTCTAGAGCCTGCGAACCACAGCTACTGAGCCCACGTGCCACAACTACTGAAGCCCATGCGCCTAGAGCCTGTGCTCCGCAACCAGAAAAGCCACCACAAGGGGAAGCCCGCGCACTGCAACGAAGAATAACCCCTGCCCGCCACAACTAGAGAAAGCCCATGCGCAGCGACGAAGACCCAACGCAACCAAAAATAAATAATTTCTTAAAAAGAGAGAATTTAACCACATCTTATAAAAAAAAATCATTTCTCTAAAGTAGTGACAGACACAAATTTGTTATCTTAATGATCTTATCTGTGCTCAGCCACTTGATCTGATTTTGCTCGGTAAATATTAATTAATAAGCCAGACACACCTGCAGAAAGAAGTCACATGATGAGCATTTCCAGGGCAATCTTTTCTGCCCATTTTCATCAGTACACAAACTAAGGGCTTAACCAATGATGACAAAGTTTTAGGACCTCTTAATAGTGCACACTTTTCCTTAATTTCAGGAATTTTTCTAAGACCAGTCAATCATTTCCTTAGTTGAGTAACTCACTGTAGACACTGACATAATGATTGACTTTTTCTAACTACAACCATGGCATTTCTCAGCCAGAAACAAAATAAAAATACTTGCAATTACAATGATTAGCAAAGAATTGCCCCCACCTTTGATAGAAAACTCCCCTTGAGATGGAAAGTCTAGCACCAAGAAACAGATATAATTTGCCATGATTTGGAGTTAGAGCAGTGAAATTAACAAATGTAGTAATTAGATATAATACCTGTAGATAGAACTTGACCCAATAAAAGACATATTTCAAGGATGACTGTGGAGATCCCCATTTTTCTGGGTTCTTCTCAATTTGAATAAAAATGCCTTGCTATTTATAAGTTCCTAGCTATAAGGAGGCGTGTCTTCCGGGGTACTCTATTTCTACTGCTGCCGTAAAGATAAAGGAAGTAAGTGACTTTTCTAACAATCGATGGTTAATCTGTGGGAACAATTTAGGTGTGTTAGATTGATTGTTACATGAACAGTCTGGCTATTGCCCAACTACAAAAGCACTGACATTAGCAATGCAATTTCCACTTCCTTCTAGGTGAACCTCTAAGTCTCTCAAGTGTTCCCTGAATATAGGATTGATTTTAATCTTGGAGAATTTGAAAGAATTTGTGGGAAGACTGCTCCAAGGTTCGGGGCAGAGCAGGATGTGGGCTGCTGAGCAAATACAGGACATGGTGCCAAAGGGGAAAATCATCTCTTGGGGATGATTTGCCCTGGCGGGGAGGTCTCCTGTTGGCCCTTTGCCTTGGAGAAATGAGGATGGCGTCAGTGCAGACGTGACTGGAGAGCAGAAGACGTGAGTGATACCCATGGATTCCACAGGCTTATATTAGCTTTAGCCGTAACCTTCTGCCTCTCTCATGGATTCCATAACCCAGCAGCTGAGAACATGAGGTCTCAAACTGAACCACCTCCAACCACTCACAGTCTTTGATTTCTTGCCCTTGGCATTCACATTGTCTGACCTTTGGAGCTTTGCAAACCCACCACACCTGCCCCCAACCTTGCCCGCAATCCCTCTCTTACATAGAGGGTCCCACGCTTTGGGACCCCCAGTCATTCTTTATCACCAGACTCTGGTTTTACCCCGACAATCTACCAGGAAGGTTTCTTGTCGTTTATTTTTTATCAAAACTCTATTGGTGGTTGGTAACTCTTGGTTAGAAGCATATGGCTTTGTAGGACTTGCCTCTGTTATCGTGGCCTGAGTGAGCCATGTCCCGCCTTTCAGCTGAGATGTGGAGGCTGTGAGAGGACACCTTGGCCTCCTTGCCATGAGCTGTTAACCCCTAGTCTCCTGGTGCTTCATTCTGGAAGTATACCAGGAGCCCATGCCCTGTATTAGCCACCAAGCAGGATTTAGGGCTGGATGTCTGCGTCTGGCTTCATCCACATGCAAGTTACTTTCAACCTTGGATTTCTTTTTTAATCCTATAGCTCTTCCCATCATTCCCAAGTTCCTTCTCTCCCCTTGATGAGAATAGGCAAATTTCTGCAGGATAACCTCACTCTTTTTCATTCTCCTACTTTCAGTCCAACAGTTGATGAGAGTCAGGTGACAAGAGAACCAGGATACACACCTGCTAGGGAAGCCTAAGACCAGACAGCACCGTGGGTTCCTCTTACGGGGTTATGATTGTTTGGATCTTGAAGTGCTGGGCTGAGAATTATTATGAAGCGCTGAGTTTGGGATCATCAAAAAAAGAGTGCTGTGATTGATTCGTAATGCCTGCCCTGAGCACAGCATAGAAAAATGGAGGTAGGAGTATGAAATATCCAGGAGGGAGGAGGGGGTACGAAGTGTCCCTCCCCCACAGAAGCACACTGTCTGGTCTTAGAGACGGACCTGCATGGTGATGATTACAAGAGGGCATGAGTATTAATACAAGTTGCTATGGGAGAATACAGGGAATAAAACGTCAATCAGATGGCAGAAGCAGTTTCTCTAAGGAAGTGAGACTTGAAATATAAGCAGGGGTCATCGGGCAAACAAGGGTGGGAAGACCAGATGAGAAACAGGAGTGACCTTTCAGGATTGTGTGAGAGTGGAGTGGGTGGTGGGGATCCTGCCAGGGGACTGTGGAGGAAACCGCATCAATAGCTCAGCTCAGAGCAGAAAGAACAGCACCATTTCCTCATTTTTGTCATTGTGATGACCCTGTCCTCTCCCCCCTGTGGTTAGCATAAGGATCCTAACACAACAAGGGCTTGTGAGCTCTTTGTTCAGAAGACACCAGGAAGGAGGAAGAGGAGGGAACGTACCTGTCATTTCAAAGCCAGCTGGAGAGGTGTCCAGGTGGAAAGGTGGGCGATGTCAGTGGAGCAGGAAGGCGGTGGGGTCCTGGATGTGCAGGAAGAACACAGTGGGGGCGCAGGCCACCTGCCACCACAGTGTGCGTCCTTCATCACCAGGACCCCACCCTGTCCCAAGGCCCTTTGTGTCCCATGGCCTTTCATCAGACCCTGTTCAGAGTGATCTTCCTCTTGTGTAGAGAAGAGGGTACTGGAGAGACCCACCCCTCTCAGAGGGCCAACCATTCTTTCCCCTGCCCACTGGTTAGAAGCATCTATGTCAACAGCATGTCTGGGTAGAAAGAGCAGAGCTACAGAACTCCATTTCCTAATGAAACCTGACATTAAGAACAGTAGGGAGAAGGAAAAACTCATTAAAGATCCAAGACTCTAGGGCTTCCCTGGTGGCACAGTGGTTGAGAGTCTGCCTGCTGATGCAGGGGCCACGGGTTCGTGCCCCGGTCTGGGAAGATCCCACATGCCGCGGAGCAGCTGGGCCCGTGAGCCATGGCCACTGAGCTTGCGTGTCCGGAGCCTGTGCTCCGCAACGGGAGAGGCCACAACAGTGAGAGGCCGGCGTACCGCAAAAAAAAAAAAAAAAATCCAGGACTCTGCCCTCAGACCCCATTTCTCAAGGACCTTCCCTGGGTGATTATGGTCCCGATGACCACATGCTCTTGAAAACTCCAAAACGCAGAACCAAGCACTGGGCCTCAACGCGGGAGGCCTGGCCTTCACTGGGGAGAATCCTCTGTAGGGGTCCCTCACGGCTTTTTGTAAGAGGCAGAACACTTTCCTAAATGGAAAGTCGTGGGGAAGCTCCAAATATTAACATTAACGTCACTGGGACCGCTCTGAGTGTGGCAGGGGAATCCCTGCCAGCTCAGCCAGTGCCACCAGCCCCTGTCCTCCTAGAGGGCAGCCTGTGGCAGAGCTGGGGGTTCCCTGATGGAGGCCAGCCCCTCCCTTTACAGACCAGGAACTGGAGGCCCAGAGAGGCTCCTGCGGTTGCCAGAGGCTCTGCCCTGATACTGAGCCAGGTCCCAGTGGACGCCGTAGAGCAGGCGCCTGCCCTCAGCTTGGGTCATCTAAACCCCTTTCCTCAGAGGTTGGCTCTACACCCTGCCGGCCACCTGGGTCCTCCCACCCTGTGAGGTCTCTGATCTCTGAACCCGGGAGCCCCGTGACGTGGGAGAGACCTAGGTGGGGAGAATCGGGGGGCTGTGGCCTCTCAGACATCATGCGTCCAGGTACTGGGTCCCAGGAGTCTGTGTGACCGTGGCTCCCCTTTGGGTGTCAGCTTGACCCCTAAAATCTAACTTTACTGTCGCTGAGTAGCCTGACATAATTGTTAGCCATTGTTACCATTGTAACAACCCTCTGGGCACTGTGCATGTGACACCTACAATGTTGCAACATCACTCAGCTTTGCCCTCAGAGAGCCTGTCTTCCCAACCGGGTTCCCAGGGACCCACACCCCACCCCAGCCCCCAGCCTGAGGACCAAGCTGAGTCTCATCCTTTCCTGCTGCTCCTCTGTAATTGGGAGCTTCAAGGCGATCAGGTGTTCAGTCGGCACTGGCTGTTGAAAGTGGCTGTCAAAAGCAGCACCACCCCCTGCCCCTGCCTTCCAGGGTAACCTACAGCCTCGACCAGGGGACACTCCAGGGAGAGGAAGTGACACGCAGAGCCAGGCCAGTGTCCAGGGCGGCAGAAACTGCCTCTCGTGAGAAGGATGGAGAGTACAGGCCTGACACAGCTCTCTGCTCACCAGGGGGCAGTCCAGCTGCAGAATCTTCCAGCAACAAACACAGCCCTCTAATGACCCTAGAAAATAGAAGGCTCACCATATTCTTCTCATCTTTCTCAGGGCAACGCAGAAAGCCCTCACCGTGGTTTACGAGGGCCCGCTCAACCAGCCCCCGTGACCTCTCTCCCCGCAGCCCACTCCGGCAATCATCCAGCCCCAGGAATTTTGCACTTGCTGTTTTCTCTGACTGGAAGACTTTTCCCCCAGAAATCTGTGAGTTCACCCCTCCCTTCCTTCAGGACTTTTCTGACATATCATCTCCTCCGGGCAGACTTTCCTGACCCTCCCTCCCCAGCACTCCCTACCCACTCCACAGCCCTTCTCACAGTCTGGCTTCCTTATAGTTGACTTCTTTATTCTTTTGCCTGTCTGCCCACTAAAACTTAAGCTTCACGAGGCAGGAATTTGTGTCTGTTTTGTTTACTGCTGTATCCCCAGAATCTAGGACAGTACTTAGCACACAGGAGGTACTCAGGAAATATGTGCAGAATGAGTGGACTGAATGAGTGTGGGCCGATCGGAAGAGGAGGACCAGCGCTCTCTACCCAGATGGTTTGAGTGCGTTCTACCTTAACTGGGTGTCAACCACGTGCCGAGGATTATGTTATCCATACATTCGTTCAGTCAACAAATAAGTGCCGAGCACCTACGATGTTCTAGGAACTGCTCTAGGTAATAGGGCTGAAGTTTAAAGCCAGATAGACATGACCCCTGCCCTCCTGGGCTTTATAAACTAGGGCAACACAGACAATAGGCAAGAGATAAATATGTAGGGAGAAACATTTCAGATTGGGATAAGAATTTTGAAGGAAATGAGCAAGGTGATAGAATAGCAAGTACCTGTGGTAGGGAGGGCTATTTGGATAGGGTGGTCAAAATCTCACACTAGCTCAATAACTCCTTCAGAGACTCCTCATCTCAGGCTCAGAGAAGTTAAGTAACTTATGAAAATCACACAGCTAGAAAGTGGCAGAGCCAGAGCTTGAACTGAAGTCTAACTCCAAAGCCTGGTATTTTTCCACTAGACCCCAAAGCCTTCCCCTTCCCCCAAGAAGACTGTGTTTCCATTCAAATGGCAGGCCTTGTGTCTAAGTGCCCCTCACCGAAGGATGCCTTGCTATTCAGAAACATTCAAAGGAATGGGTAGAGAAGGAAAACTGGCTCTAAGGTCATCAGAACAAGCACAGAATTTTTTGGCATATGCCCCGCAAAGGATGCTAAGTGGCTTCTCCCTGAAAGAGTAAAGGGAGAATATTTAAAGGCAACACTAGATCTAGACCAACATGGTTGGAAGTGGTATAGGTGAAATTGCAGTGCCCAATAGGCTCACAGCAAAGTGGGAAAATAAAACATCAGAGATGTGACCATCTCCCTGGAGTTATTTACTCCTTAACACTTTCCCTTAAGGTACATGAGGTTGGTGGAGCCCAGCGCACTTCCCCAGGGAAGCCTCAAGAGTGAAGGTCTAACAGCAAAGTGAAGGGAGCGCCTGGCGGTGGGGGAGAGCGGGGACAGCTGCTTCAGGCGGGGCTGTAGACGGGGTAGCAGCATCATGGAGTGTTAGCCTTTTCAAGTTCAATTTGCCCCAGTGTGATCAGATTCTAGGAAATCCAGTTACATTAATTACACTCGCCAGACACTAATTGGTGAGCCAGGAGACAAATTCATTCATTTGCGGTCGGAGTATACTTTGACTAAAGAATTATTCTGCTTGAGGGATCAAATTATATGCCAGTAGTTTGCTTGGGGAACAAAGAATGAGAACAAGGAAACTGGACAGTGTCCAAAAGAAACTCTTATCAAGATAATGGAGCCTGTCATTACCCCATTTGGGAAGTCTCAGCATAAAGAACCGTTTGGGGTTCCTCTAAATGCTTGTCATCCTGTCTGCCCTTCCAAACCCCCGACATGGGGCCCCTGGTAAGTAAGAGACACAGGAGACTCAGATAGACCACCTCCAACAAGAGCATGGGTGAACTTGGGCCACAGCCAAGTTGGTTCGTTTCATGATTTTCCATGTTCGATTCAGTTGCTTCAGAAGGGTGGCATTTGACAGTCTTTTTGTTAAATTAAGGGACTAGAGCTCAGTTACTTTAGGTGAAGTCTTGTGGTCCAGAGGGGCTGATGATGGGTCTACTGAAGGGTTTCCTGAGCCGCAGGTGAATCCTTCATCCCCAGGTCCTTCAACACCTGTACACATGACTGGGCAACAACATAGAGGGAGGGATGAAACAGAAACAGAAGTTACCACCCGTACGCATGACAATCTAGAAAGACTGAACCACCAGCCAAGCCAACCATGATTAAATGTACCCAAATCACACCTGTCTTTGAGTCTAAAAATCAACTGTGCCAGTCCTGGATGGTGGGGGTGGGGGGTGGGTTTTTACACGTGTAAAAACCATGATAATGTTAGAATCGACCGGAAAAGGCGTCACCGAAAGTGAATGGATCTAAGGGCGTCTTAATTGCTGCTCAGGCGTGGGGTGGGCCTGAATGAGGAAGAACCCACTTCCCTCTGGATGAACCAGACCATACCTCAGGGACTAGCTCAGGTTCATCCGGCCAGTTGGTGCACTAAAGCCACTGGTGCTCACCCAGCACCGGCATCATCTGGGCACCTGTTAGAACTGCAAAGTCTCAGGCTGCAGAGTGGGTCCCAGCAACCTGCGGCAGCTCCGAGGCTCACCCTGCACCACACAAACCTGCGGGAAGCGCTGCCTACGCGGCGGGCTCGCTTGCCCAGCCAGGGACATCCAGGTGAGTAGAGCAGGGCCCTGACCTGCAGGGACAAAGCAGGGCCAGTGGTGGCGGGGAAGGAGATTTTAGAGGTGATGGCAGCTGAAGTCAGGAATGTAAGCTGGGGGCCGACTGGATGGCAAGGGCGTAGGGACAAAGGGGATGAGGGAGCCCAGGAAAACCAGTTCTGCTTAGGTCTCTGGGCCTCCAGGTGAAAGAGGCACCACGTGGGACAGGGAGCCCAGGAGGAAGGGTGGGCACTGGGGACAATGAACGCTTTGTCTCTTCTCTTCCCTCCTGACGGACTCCATCTGCTCCCGTGGCTTCATGGGACACGCACTCACCCCAGTCCTTTCTCCCCAGTCCCTGCGTCCCCCTCCCACTTCGAACTTCCCACTGGTCACCTCCACCTGCACAAAAGCTTAACCTGCACCCTCAGTCGATGCAGCCCTGGAGGGGATGGGAGAGGAGCCCCGAGACAAGATACTACACTGAAGGGCAAGCAGCAGGGGTGGCCGAGACTAAGCAAAGATGACAGCAGCCCAGACCCCTGGACTGTGGTGTCCTCTCCACCCAGGGCAGGGCGGGGAAAATGTTGGGAGGTTCCAAGGTGGGGGTCTGGAAGGCGTGATGAAAAGGAGGGGTAAGGCTGGGGGTGCAGCAGATGAACCTGGGGGTCACCTGTGAAATGAGGCCTGGACTTGTCACCATCCGTGCGGAGGCACTAAGGACAGGGAGGGTGGAGGCTCGTGACTGGGAGTGGTGTCTGGCAGCATATCAGGCTGAGTTCTTCAAGTTGCTAAGGTCTGGTGTGGCCATGGGATACAGGAAGGTCACCGGGCAGAAGGGGGCCAAGAACCGAGGCGCTGCTGGACTCTGCACTTCAACGTGACCCCGACCTGCTGTTCCCAGACATTTGCTTTCACAGCCCTATCAATTTTCAGATAAATGTTATTTGGGGTCATTTTTGTCCCCACAAGTCTGCCATGTTTTATTTGGTAAACGGAGACGTTTTTAAGGCCCAATTTTCATCACCATTGTTTCATAAACTTATAGATGTTTAAACAAAAAGAATCGGGGATGACAGAAGATCAGATTCAAGGACCATCCTCCCTGAGAAGAGACCTGTTTTCTCATTTTGCCACAGATCGGTCCCTCTTCATCCTAGTGGCGCTGTCCACACGTCAGCATCTGGGGGCCGGCGGTGAGGGCCAGCGGCAGATGCCAGGGCAGCATCCCTGCCTGAGAGGGACCGGGGCCGTCCAGTCTCCCTGGGACAGTCCTGCTTCTTACTTCTTATCCCAGAGCCATGATTGCTGGAGCATCCGTCCATTTACACCAGTGTCCTGGTTGAGATGAGTTGACATGGCCCCCGCACCCTCCCACATCTGGCCCCCTCCAGCCCGGCTGGCCTTCCTTCCTGTCCTCGGCCACACCACGTGCCCTTCCCCCTCAGTATCTGGAACTCTCTGCTCACACCCTTCTCTCTCCTTCAACAGGGAGTATGGGCCTTTCAAGCCAGTGAAACAACACCAAAGCAGAAGAGGAAAGCATGTGGGCATCAAAGGAGGGGGTGACACTGGTGATACATGATCCAGATTCAAACCCAGACTGACGAGCCCCAATACTGTGGATCTTCACACTCTCTGGGCCCCAGAATTGGAGGGGAAATATGAGGGGAGCCCAGCGCTTAGCAGGAGCCCAGCAGGACCACCATCGGACCTTTGGGCAGGGCGTCAGACCCAAGCCACCACTCTCAGTCTTGGAGATGAGACCTGTGTCCAGACTTTCATTCTGATTCTGAGGATAGAGGGCAGTGGTTCCAAACAGCAATCAGGGTGGGCAAAGAAGAGCATCCCGAAGGACCCTTATCACCCAAAAGGAAAGCTTTCTATTAACAAAAGGAGGATCGTCCGTTGCCCACGTTGGCTGAAGAGCCCACTGTAGCCCCAAAGTGAGCTCAGGTGGCAGGTGTGGCCCCAGGGGCCGGGACGCTGCGGCCATGGCCGCTCGGCTCCAGAGAGCTGGTTCACGCTGAGTTTGAGGCAGTGGTTCAAATCCGCTTCTTTGTGTATCAACAACCCTCAAGTTAGTCTTTGTTGTGGCCTTGACAGGTGGTGTTGAAAACCACAACACCTACTATAAAACTCCAAGGAAATTGGAACGAGAAAAGAGTCTTAAATGGGTATAGGGCAATGACAAGCACATAACACGCAGCCCAACCAAAGAAAACAAAAGTACCTTAAAAACAGCACAGCCATAATGGAGTTCTTATGCACGGCCAGCGAAGAAGGCGACGTGATTGATGGCCTCCACAAAGCTCTCACTGGGTCTCAGCTAGTTCCTTGAGTGAGAAATGTTTCATCCATATTTCCTTCTTCCTTGTTACAACACAAGACTCAGAGAGCCAGTGCACATGTGTGTATGTGTGTGTGTGTGCTGCACACACGCATGGGCAGTATCCCCCAGGAGATGCCTGACCAACCGTCTGGGTGGATTTAATGGCATGAACACATTTTTGCCGTAGCCTTTGATCGGGCTGAGAATTGACCACCAGGGAGTCCAGTCCAGGAGGGAGCTGACCTCAGGCCAAGAGAGCCAGCCTGGCTTTACCCAAGGCTGGGGGAGAGCTGCGTGACCTGCCCCACCTCTGGGATCACTTCCGAGCCGTTGGAGGCCTGGGCTCTGAAGAGGGGCTCTGGACTGGTAGACGAGCCGGTGCCTAACCCTTTCCTCTTGCCGAAAGTACCAGGGCATAGGGAGGGCTTTAACCCTTTCTCATTCAGCCAAAAGACTTATTCAGAATTCTCTCTCCTCCTCTGGGGTTGCCTCACACATTCTCAGAAAACCGGATTAAGCCCTCTTGCCTCTCTCCACGAAGCCTTTTCTCTCCACACTCATGGAGTCAGTGGCCCCACTCACTCCCTGTTTTCCTCTGGCGCACATGCAACATTGGACGGGGCCTAATTATTCTGCGTATCACAAGCTGGGTCCTCCTTGTGAAATCAGGAACCACAGCTTCCACTCCCCCAGCACTGCATACCCAACAAGATCTCAAACAGCACTTGAGGACAAGTTGCAAAAGCTGTCATGCTCTCGGCACCCTGTACTTGACCACAAAGGCTCACATATGCTCTTCAGGTGAGACTCAGCCCACTTCACAGATGAGGAAAACTGAGGCTCGCAGAGGTGAAGTACCTACTCCCATGATCAAGTTTAATAAGTGAGCAGAGTGGGGAGAGCTCAGGACACAAACTCACGACTGCCTGACTCAGATCCTACAAGCTCCCTGATGATACTCTCCCTGGCTGAGATTCCCTGAAGGGATGTGATATTTCTCCCATAGTTTGTGTGCACTTGCCTTGCTCCAAAACAGTTTGATGCGATTTTCAAAACCACATATGGTGTAATAGCAAGGAGAGAAATGTTTAACAAGACCATGAAAACTAATGGTAGGTTAGAAAACAAAGCCAGGGGAAATTTTCAACACAAAATTGAGAAATACCATAAGGTCCTCCACCGAAGGACCTTAGTTGCTAGAGAGCAATTGGAATTGTGGCTCTAAGCTTCCTAGCAGCCAAAGCAAAGAAGGAAACAAGATCAGTATAAAATTTAACTCATCTGTTGTTCTTAGAGGCATTAGTTTTCTTGTTCCCAAGCCCTGAAAAAATGTCTCCCAAATGGCCTCACGGACAGATTACCTGGGTGAAACACGGCAGCTTTCAAATCATATTCCCACATCCCTGGGGTGCCATGGGTGTGATGAAGAGAAGGGCGAGGAAGCCAGCTCTGCTCCTGCGCCCACCTCCTCCTCACCAACCTCAGCTCCAGCAGAGCAGAGATTACACTTAGAATGCTACGGTGGCCTGTGAAGCCTAGAGATAGGCAGCTCCTGCGTGTCAATTCACTGCCATCAGGAATTTTGACTTCGACTTTATTAAAATCTTCCAGCTTATCCTATTTTCTAGCACCCAAAACTCCCAGGAGGCTTTCATTTTTCTATGCAAACAGACATACAAGGATCTCAGTCCCGTGCAAGAGGCCCTGCATCTGGACCCCCTGTCCCTTTCTCCTCTCTTCCTCTCTTCACTGCTAGGAGCCCTCAGTGCCTTTCCTGAGCTGACAAACCCCCTTGGAGGTGTTTTTTCTCTTTACCTTATTATTCTCTCAAGAATTCTCCAGTAGAGCTTTTGTCTCTTCTCTCCTCGAAAGGAGGGAGAAGGGAAAAACACTCCACACTCAGCAGAGAGAGAAGGGCTGTGCCCCCCTCTTAAAATATACAGAATGCCCTTGATTATAGTATGGCGTGGATCATATAGAAGTCTTGTCCTGAGTTGATAACTATGTTGGAAGAGGAAGAAGGAAGAAACAGCACAGTAAAAGCGTCTCAACCGAGACAGTTCCCAATTTCAGAACCGTTAAAAACCGAACCCACAACGTGTATGTGTGAATCAACAAAATAGTTTGATTAGAAAAGATTTTTTTCTGATAGTTCCTTGCAGTACAAAAAAGAGAGCTTAGACGTCATCTACTCAATGCCCCTAAAGGTTATGTATCTTCCCTAAGTTTCCCGACCCCTCCCTGGTCAAAGTCCTTTCCGTTCCATCTGGTGACTCTTTACAGATTTCTGATAAAACTAAGAACCTACAACTCCTTGATAACCACTGCCTCTCCAGTAGCAAACTACAATGATAGCTTCGAGATAAGTGGAGATAAGAGAGCCAGAGTTTTTGAAGCTGGCTTCCTGGTTGAACCAGAAATACCTTGCCTCCCTTGTCCTGTGGCCCAAGGTGAGGAGGACCCTCCCTGGGGATGGAGAAACTTTCTCCAGGTCCTCCTGGAAGCTGTCCTCATAGAACCATAGAAACTTACACAGGGCAGGGGCTCATTAAGTTTCCCTTTTGTTTTTCAATAGGGCGACCTGCAGCGGGAAGCTGATGAGGTTGCTCCAGACTGATTCCAAAACCAGAGGCCACTGAGCTCTTCTGGTGAGGGGTTGGGGTGGAATGGGGGAAATGGAATCATCAGGGGTATCAGGGGTTCCGGTTTAAAATACAGAAGCCTGGGTCCCATGCCCTCGAGATTCTGGTACACTAAGTTTGGAATTGGACCTGGAGATCTTTCTGCTTAAATTTCCCAGATGATTTTGATGTACACCAAGGTGTGGGAACTGAGAGAGGCCAGCTCTGAGCAGGACCTCCTGGCTGCACACACAGGAGGAAATTCACACTGGGGCAGTGGCAAATTCATTTGAGAACAGCAGAAAGGAAGTTTGGGCTTCAAGGAGGTGATTTCAAACAGCTTACGGAGGACTCTGCATTTAATTCGCTGGCAGGGTTTTGAGGAGGAGAGTGGTGGGATGCGTCTTTTATAAAGACAGACAATAGAACAAGAAATGACAGTGTGTCTGTATCGGGATGCATGGAGGCACACACGCATTTAAAGAGCACAGCCATACTCGTCATATTGCGCAGGAGTTTGGAAAACTACCAGGAAGAAGAAAATAATCCCTGCCTGAAGAAACAAACAATCCAGCTGGACAGAAAAATCACTGGCTCGTCAGAAAACAACGGATGGAAACTTTTCGGCCCCTCTAAGACCTTAGAGACCATAGAAGATTTTGACTTTAAAAAAAAAGCTTAGATGAACTCTAATTCCTTTAAAAGTTTGAATCTGGGGAACAGATAAGAGTCAGATCTCTAATAGGGAAAGATTTGTGAGATGGTACCTAGCAGTGCCTAGGCATGTGTAAGTTCAAATCTTCATCTATATTATGTATTCACTTTTTTTATAGCTAGAAAATCACTGGGTGTTTTGAATTATTATTTGCATAAATATTTTTTATTTCAAAGGTAAAAATGAAATCACCAGCAGTACACAGGCCATCTGTGCTGTGTCTGGTGGGTGAATGCACCAGGTGGCCTGTGAGGCCAGCTTCCCTGGATTCGAGGGATGCAAGGAGACTTAGAGCAGTTTAGGGCCTCAGCTGGACCTTGTGGTTGCTGTCAAAATCCTTGACATTTCTGGGAGATGTGTCCCCAGATCTTGTAAGTGTCTGATCACAAACCGCTTTAGAAAATTCTAATGTATTGACAGAACAGCAGCCAGAGGGAGGTGAAATAAGCCGTAATTTGAGTCATGAGTTACCATTTGTGCTTAGATTTAAAGCAGTCTCATTGACAAATTGCTGCAACAAGCTATCAAAATTTAATTTCCAGGGCTTCCCTGGTGGCACAGTGGTTGAGAGTCTGCCTGCCGATGCAGGGGACACGGGTTCGTGCCCCGGTCGGGGAAGATCCCACACGCCGCGGATCGGCTAGGCCCGTGAGCCATGGCCGCTGAGCCTGCACGTCCGGAGCCTGTGCTCCGCAACGGGAGAGGCCACAACAGTAAGAGGCCCGCGTACCGAAAAAAAAAAAAAATTAATCTCCAGGTCATATACAATTTTGTAATGGAAGTGCAACTTTTTTTAAAAAAGGGAAAAATGTTTCATTTTATGAAGAAGGGCAAAATATGTGAAAATAAACTCTTTCACTTTACATTTGTATAAATGCATCTTCCAAATAAATGTTTTTTAAGAAGAAGAATACGTTTGTATCTTTATCACAAGCCATGGTGATAACTGCTTCACAATTTTCAGATGGAATAAACACCACATTAATTTTTCTTAATCCAATCAAATCCTGCCACAAGCCTCCCATTTACCAATTTTATTTTTGGCTGTGCCGCTCAGCTTGTTCCAGAATCTTGGTTCCCCGACCAGGGATTGAACCCAGGCCCCAGCAGTGGAAGCTTGAACTCTTAACCACTCGACCGCCAAGGAAGTGCCCCATCCACCAATGCTGATGAGAAGGCCAACACCCATCATTCCTCAGGGATTCTCCTGCCTTCTAGGGTTGTACCGAGGTCCCAGGTTCTTCCTGGGTGGTCTCAAGTCCCCACCACCCCGCTCCACCTCTCATCCCCACCCTGTGGTTGACTGACACTAGGTTAATCCTGATCCTTCCCAGCCATCCATCACTATAACTTTGTAGAAGCAAGTCTTCCTTGAACTGCATCCTGCCCAGGCCAGCTGGCTTACTCAGTGGTGGGTGACCCTAGTGTCCAAGTCCCTGGGCTTAGTGCCCAGGCCCCCAGGCTAGAAGCCCCAAAGCTCTGGTTTGTGATTTAAAGCAACCACAGTGCTCTACAGCGCTTCTGAAGAACACCAGCCTAAGTTTTCTTTCTGGAACAGGGGGCGATACTAAATTTTTAAGGGACAGAAACAAAAAATAAATTTGTGTTTCGATTCCACCATGGACTGCGTTTTTTCAGTGTATCAATTACACAAGCAAATTTTTAAAGGAGAAGTACGATTTTTAAAATAAGTTACAAAATAATAAAATGAATGGCTTCCTATCATAACTCAGACTCCCACCTATTCCCCTAAAGATTTATGAGTCTCGAAATGGCCCCGGAAGGATTTTAAGTATATTTTCTTTACACAAAGGAAATGTCCTTGAAACTTCATGAGTAACGTTGTGAATGGAACTTTATTTGTATGGAAAGTAGGGAAACTGGTCATTTAAAAGAATCCGTCAGGACCCTACTTGTACATTGAAAAATCATTTGCTGGTGATTTGAGGGTAAATCAGGCTTCTGAAGCGTCAGCTTGCTCAAAGGTTTAGTTTACTTTACTTTTCTAGGTTAGTTAAACTGTTCTTTCCATTTTGGCTGAGAAACGGAAATTCAAAAGGCAAATCAGTTGTCCTTATAACCGGAGAGTAGGAGCGTCCAGTCTTAAACCCATAGGAAGCCATGGCTCCTTCACCTTGGCTTTTAGGACCCCTCGGCTTCCCTGTTTGGAAACCGCCCACCTGCAGTTCCAGGTCCCCTTAAGTCGGCGGATCCCAGCACTAGCA